CCCCAAAACCCCAAAACCCCAAAACCCCTTCTTTTCTTACTTAATTCAAATTAAATTACTATTTCAAAATGGCTGCGAAAGAACTAACTTGTGAGTTTTATAAATGGCTGTGGAAGAAACAACCACACACAGAAGACAGTGAAAATAGAATATCTATGCAGAGTACATTGTTCATATCCTTTAATGCCTTGGCTTTCTTTTTGTTGTTATAAAGTTTAAATAATGAAAGAACTGTATTAACTCTCAAAAAGTGTAGATATACCAACTTAGTTTTGAGAAACTATAATTTAATGAAAAATAATAACCATTTTCACATGGTTATTTTAACTGAAAATTTATAACAGTTTCCTAAACATTCTAATACTTTACTCTGTATTTGTTGAGTCAAGCTGGTTGACAAGCAAAGGAGATTTTCTGCTATCAATCCTTCAGTACTTACTTGTTTGAGATGTGATCATGTACATTCTTAGGCTCTATCATCTCCTAAGGAATCTCATTCAGATATACAATAAAGTAGTGTTGAAAATTATTTTTGGCAATAATATAAGGATTGCCATTAAGATTCGGCTAGGCTTAAGAAATATAATTTTCTTAGTCTCTCTCACTTTCTATCATTTATGAATCTAAGTTGTTTTTACTATTTCAGTATCTAACATTTTGACCTTCTTTACAGCAAGTTAAGATTACTTTAAGGTTTCATAAACAAAACCTGAACAATAGCTTTGATAATGTATGAGGTCGATATCTTTCAGAGCCTCAGTCATTACCTTGGTTCCCCAGTTTACAAATATTGATAATTTCCTGATTTTATATAGAAAACTTTACTTCTTTAATGGCGAAGATTATCTCCACTGATTCGAGATTTAGGCGGTAAAGGAAAAGCCCGATAGTATAGATTCCAAGAAGTTGGACAGCTCACTACTTCTCAAAATCGAATGTAATTCATTATTGTTTACTACTCTCAAAGGTCCGTCTTCGTCTGCTCTAAAACCTTTATATTATATTTTAAAGATAGCATAAAACTGAAGAAAGTTGTTGAATTATTATTTCTGTAGTAAATATACTGACGATTTGGCCATTTGATAGGAGAGCAAAAATTATCGAAGTTTTCTCAAAATATTTACTGTTTGTGATTGGATATGAGTAGTTTGAAGAGGGTTATAAATGTTTTATTTTGATAGACTGGCTGAAGGGTGACTCATCTACATTTGCCATAAACTCGCTTCGATGGGTTAAAGAAAGAAGTTTAGACGAATAAATGCTTAGGAGCAATATAGAACTTCTATCTCCAGTTTTCAGTACTCAATTCGCACCTCTTTTGTAAGTATACCCATCCTATCTTTTATTTATCACCTCACTTGGTGATATTCGACTTCACTTTCAAAAATCATATGAAAATGATTCCCAAATCTTAAGGATCTTCATTGTTTTAGTTGGAATAGCCTCTTAATCATCTTCTTTTCTCCTTTTATAAATTATTTTGGAGGCTGCTCTGGTATTATATAGAGTATTGATGTGTTCAGACTCAATAAAACCTGATATATTCATCTGAGCTAGACTCTCTGAGATTTCTCAGAATCTCCCAACTTTTACTTCTTTGGATGGTCTATCAGCCAAGGTCTTCATGATTTCTCTGGCATGCTCAATTATGAACTTGATCTTTTTTTAGTATATGCTTATGCTTAATCATTTCTTGTCATGCTTAAATTGGGAAGATTCTCTGTTCTAAAGCTCATTTTGGTCTTTACTCATCAAAGAGGGTTAAATTATCCACCAAGAGCTTGTTCAGTAAAACTTAATCGATCTGATAATTCAAAATTTGAAGAATATTAGAAGAACTCTTGATGAGTGTCTCTATTTAAGCGTTGTTGGTCAGCTCCTTCAAAATGAAATGATTTAATCGGCTTATATTCTTTTTGAGCTCTCCTTGTTTCTCTATTCTATCACTAACATATCCTGCTTCATCTTTCCATCTCTAATATAATCAGAGAACTCAGAATCAGTGAGATTCTAAACAAGTAAACCTTCCAGATGTAATTGTGATAATGCTAGAGATGCCTTTAGAGGAATGAGTAATGATTTCTTAGGCTGAGAATTAGGAATCTTTCGGTTTCTTTTAAACAGTTAAGATTTGATTCTTTTATCTAAAGCTTATTGAATCATTCGAACTTGTTACTTTTTGTATCTACTGTTTGAAAAATTTCTGATAACCCAGGAAGATTTGTAAAGAAATAGAATCGAACTGATAGGAAATTGAAGAAAGCAAATCGACTCTATAAGGAATATACATTATCAATAGAGTAAAAAGCAACTTCCTAAGTATAGTTCTTATTGGAACTTTCTCCAATAAACCAAGACTCGATTAACCATGGACTTCAAATTAATAAATCTGAATATTTCTGGAGCAAAAACATAATCAAAGACTTGGTTATATCGTTTCATTATGGAGAGAGCTGTATTTCCTTTCTCAGGATTAGACCAACTTAAATTTTATCAGAGATCTGTGGTTCAAATATTAGAGAGTAAGTTTCTTATTGTGTGTTTCATTCAGATTTTTCTATCTAGGCGTTGAAAGATATCTATATCTATGTGTGCACCGTTTTTTATATAAAAAGTTTGCCAACTATAAACTTGATCAGCTTCATCATTGAGAATAGTATTGGCTAACAATCCCTCCTAACTAACTCACTACAAGAAGTACGTTCCCAACAGAACCTCTTGTGTAATTTGTGTATTGCACTCCTTGCTCTTGCACTTTCTAGGAAATATATTGGATCATGAAGGCTCCCAGAAAAATCAAGGAAGATCTCGAGTTTAGTGAAAAGTAATTTCTGAGAATTTAGAACTTGTTCATCAAAATTCTTCTTAAAATCATTTTTATAGCCTAAGGATCACAAATAGTTGCCAATATCCTAACCCATATGCTAACACTACATCACTGTAAAGAGCAAAAGCCACAATTTACTTAAAAAGAACATCCTCTGGTAAACGAGGTTTCTGGGAGAGCAGAAAGGAAATGTGAGGAAAGCTGCAGTGGCAACAGAGAAGATGGAAAGAAAGGTAGTGAATTTTGGGAACAAGCTGGAGGAGTAGAAAACGCTTTTGTCGATCCATCTAGAGAACAACAAGATCTTAAAGAAATTGTTCTAAGATGGAGTCACTGGTGCAGATAGAAATCCAAATTGGATACAATGATATCCTAGGTCTTTATTACCTGTTAAACTTTATCAATCCTAACTCTTCATCATCTTATCGCTGTGATTTCTCCCTCTGAATCAGAAAAGGTTATCCTTGTCATACTAGTCAACCCTCCGAGAATTTTTCATTGTAGTCTCTTTCAATGGGTTTGAGCACTTCTTTATGTATCCATGTCTTCTTTGACCCCTATCTCTAAATTTTAAGGATCATCTGCTCTTACTGCACTAGGATCAAAACATCTTTAGACTTGTTCCTCATTGGCCAGCTGGGTAAACTGTTTTAATGTGCAATCTTGGGCAACTTTATCCGTCAGCACCAAAATGGGGATAACTTTAAGCTCTTCAAATTGAGTTCAAATTTCGATCTCTGCTAAGGAAAAGGATGTTGATAATCTGAAAATATTGGCCCAAAATGAGGGTGGGTTTATATTTTTTGGTTATTCTTAGCTCTACTCTTATACCAGCGACCTTAAATCATTTTACACCTTTGTGGCGGAAATCACGGGCTTTTAAAACCTTTCATTATTTTGTAAATCCTTACTTTTTCCTAAATTTCCTACTTCTTCACTCAGATTGCGGATTAATATTTTTTCTTGAAATCTTGTTTTCAGTCTTGTAATCATGAGTGCAAGCGGGAATACAATTTTGGAGATAATCTAGGTTGCTCTGTCAAATTTCTCAATACATAATGAATTCTGGGAAATTTTATAGATTATTCTAAGATCCACCAAACTCCTAAAATTTCTCTTGAGACTCTTCCCTCTCAAGTTTAAATTCTGTATAAACATATTAACAGCGTACCACAATGTAATCCATATATGACTTTGCCTTACCTTTGGCTTCATATGCATTTTTGATATGAGAACCCACAGTGGCAAATCAATCGGATTCTTCAATAAATCCCTGTTATTCCTTGTATACTTCTTTGTCTTCTGCAGAACAGTCTACCATTCATTGCTGATTGTCTATAACATCCTATGCGCTCCATGAGTTATACGAGCGATTTTGGAGGAGATTAGGAATGAAAGAGATAGGCGGTTTAGTAGGGAGCAATTTAGGAATATTTCGGGCAATGAGATTATTGGTAGGCAGATAAATAGGAGGGATAGATACAACGAAGAAGAGAAAGATCAAAGACAATCTCAAAATATTCAAATCAATTATCAACAAAACAGTGCTGAACAAAATCATAGTCAGCAAGACCTTATCCAGGAGGATCGTAAGGAGCAATTTCAAAACATCCCATTATCTGTAGCTCATGTTCGAAATGTTATTTTCCCATCAATGCCCCCAGAGATCATGCAATCATCCAGAAATATCCAAAGTATCAGGTCTGCATCACGCCTTAGAAACTCGAATCCAAGTGGCAATGATACAATGTCTTGTCTCTTTGAAATCCAATATTCAAATCAAGATTCAAGACTTAGAGGCAGAAACTGTCCAATCTGCCAAGAACAATTCTGTCCAAGACAAAGACTAGCCTACCTCCCTTGCAGTAGAGAACATATCTTCCACTCAGAATGTATAAGACAATGGTTAAGGAATAAAAGAGAGTGCCCCATCTGCAGACTGGGGATATCCTAAAGAAATCTTTACTCTTTGGTCTTGAAACTTATCATTTTTAATTTCAGACCTTAATTCAAGGCAAAATTTACATTTTGGGGTTTTGGGGTTTTGGGGTTTTGGGG